ATTCGCCAATAAGCTAAATGAAAAATACCTTCATAATTTGTGAAGAGCTCTGTATAAATAAAGTAAAGTGTTCGTTACAAGGGAACAAGAATCATATTCACCACAACAAAAGGGCTCCTGCAGGGTTGTTCCACATCTCCGACCCTATTCAAAATATACTTAGGGAAAGCCTTGACTACATGGAAAAGAAAATGCTAAGGCATGGGAGTACCGGTACGAAACGAGTACCTATATACACTAAGCTTTGCAAGCGATCAAGTAGTGATTTCACAAGACCAAAAAGATCTCAGTTACATGATGAAGAAACTACAAGAAGAATATACCAAGGCTGGCCTAGATGTTAACCTCGCGAAAACAGAGTACCTATCTACAAGTGAAGAAGAAATAGAAGATCTACAGATTGACGACAACGCAACAATCAAAGAAAAGGATAAATTCAAATACTTGGGGTTTATAATCACGAAAAAGACAACAACAGAGGAAGAAATAAAGCAAAAATTAGGACAAACAAGAACAGCAATCCCACAACTTAACTTAGTATGGTGGGATAGACACCTAAATATGAAGGCAAAAACACAGATTTATAAAACATTAGAGCAATGTATTATTACATATGGGGCTGAAAATTATATTATAAACAGGAAAAACAGCAGTAAGACAGTAACAACAGAGATGGAATGCCTGCGAAGATGCTGCAGAGTAACAAGAATAGATAGGAGAACTAATGACGAAATAAAGCAAAGAACATCAATAGAAACAGACATTCTAACATATATATTTAGAACAAAAAAGACTAAAGTGGAATGTACATGTAAGAAAAACTAGCGACAGCAGATGAATAAAGAGAATAACCGAATGGAGCTCCATAAGAAGGAGGAAAAGAGGATGACCCCGAAGATTCTGGAGGCACGAACAAGACGATGCCATGAGTAAGGGATGCCTACTGAGAGATGGAGAATGGGACAACAGAGATGGATGGAAACCGTTAAGCGAGGGAAGGCAGTGAATACTGTAGAATCCCTGAATATATATATATATATATATATATATTATATATATATATATATATATATATATATATATATATATATATATATATATATATATATATATATATATATATATAAGAGCAACAACGCTTTTGGAGAAACAGGTCAACAATAAAGGCTGTATTCTAACATAAAGTCTAATACCAGACGAAGAAATTGTACCAATATTATTTCCCTAATCTTTGCTAAGTTCAATATTGAACTAGTCAATTTTGTTTCTTGTTTCATTTCATTTAAGATCACTCTTCTTTATCTTATTGAGCTCTGACGTATTCCTATAAACTCCAAGATAGTTGCTATTTTAATACTTGTTCTAACTGTGAATGGTTTTGAATAGATTTTCATTACTCTTAAATTCTTTCTCAAATTAATTTCAATAGCAATTCAGTTTTGTGTTCTCGGGCAATATCTTTATCTCATTACTAAAAGATTATCAAGAAATTGATTTTTTGTTTATATAATTGCCCAAAAAGTTACTGTTTATAAAACAACAAAAAAAACAACGGTCAAAAATACTTTAAAAGAACTTTTTATGTTCAATGAAATATATTATAATGGTAACTAGACAGTAGAATTTAAAAGGTAATCCAAAAATGCATGTTATTTGTAGCATGACACATATTTTTGCATGATTTATGGTGATGGGTTACATTTTGGTCGCAAATGATCTTTAGTATACTTTTTAGTTTTCACACATTAGCGTTCTCAAAACTATAATGAATACTGCCAAATCATTTCACAAATGTATGATTCAAATATGAGTAGTTCAAAAGTCTGGAAACGCCTAATTATCTCTTAAAAGAATTATCCGAATTGGATAAAATTAGAGATACCCCTATTTTGCAGTATGTAGATTTAAAATTTGATGATTGTAACGTTATCAGATTTATATATAATAAAAATATTCTTTATGATTCTAACGGGTGAACGAGGAGCCTATTTAATACTAGGTACCTAATCTACCAATCAATTGCCCAGGAAATGTCTGATCTAAGAAACGCCGAACCTTTACACCAAAATAAACTGGAGCTCTTAAAACACAAACTTGCTTCCAGGCAGGTTTACTTTCATTTTTAAGTAGAATTTCTTAATTATTGCTTGGTAAATTTCCTTATATAAAAACGGCCAAATTACCTGAGTACCCACTATACCCAACCATAGATTTAGTTTTTATGGTTTTTTAATATGGTTTTCACGTATTCAGTGTAGATTTACCTCACTCCAATACCTTAAATTTTGGCGATTTATATTTCCACTGAAGAATTACCTAGATCATGTGTTTGAGCAGCTCTGCGTGAGGATGGATCTGATCAGATTTTTTCGCGTTTTCTTTTATTTTTCTTATTGGAGCTTTCATTTAAGTCAATTGCGTATTAATTCTCGTCTTAAAAGATGTACTGTACGTATTGTTTTCGATTGTTATCTATAATCATTGCATTGTTATCTATAATCTCATTTTTCTCTCGATCATTGAATTATTTAACCATCATCAATTTAATATTTTGAATAAATATGTTAAAAAAAACGAAGTTGCACGAAACAAGGCAGGTAAACCTTAAAAAATCTCCACGTTTTTTACGTTGTTATCTATTTTTCGTTAAATTTTATTATTTTTATTAACAATACAGAAAATAGGGAATATAACATAATTATATCATCGGTGATTATTTATCTGTTTGACAAGTTGGACTTATCTCAGATTCTCCTTTTTTGATACTGACGCATAAGCATAAGATTCTCGTTATGAATCTTGATATTTTCTTTTTAGCAACTTCTTTTAGTATCGGTAATATTTTTTAAATTGTTTTATCTTTTTTCCATTCATTCTCTTCAAAACTATTGATGAATCTTCTTATGGGACTCTGTTCATTTTCCCATGCTTGTTTACAAGGCCCAAAAAATGAGTAGCCGTACTAATACTCCAAAGAAAGAGTGTCAGTACGTGTCAGAAAGGATTGTAACAACAAAGATAAGAATGAAAAAGGAAGATATGAATATCATCTGAGTATTAAATAAAAAGCCTCAAACAACAAGAGAAACGTTTTATGACGAATTACAACAAGTTGTAGATCATGTCAGAGGAAAGATGTTAATACTGAGGGATTTTAACGCTTGAAGAGACAACCAAGTAGTATCCGTGACTAAAGCAAAAATATAACGAGAATGTTAAAAACAAAAATGGAGAACTGACGATAAACGTCTGCACGAATAATGAACTGAGAATAAACAACATATTTTTTGACCACAAAGATCCACACAAATATACATTCAATAACACCCGTGGACAAAGATCCATATAGATTATGTATAACTAACAGAGATATACATCCATCAAAAATGATCGACGTCAGGTGCCTCAACTTAGCAGATGTAGCTAGCGACCATAGCCTAGTATTAATTAAAATAAGAATCATCATGATCATGATCAATACTTCATACCCAAGAGAGCAGCATCGAAATCAACGAAAATCAGAGTCGAAGGACTAAATACGGAATTCACGGAATACTTATACGGAAAAAGAATATTAGTCAAGATTGCTGAGAATGAAAAACTCTTTATGCAGCAATAGAATCACTTGGTGAGAGGAAACTAACAAAGACACGTATATATAAAAAAACCCATGGTTTAGAGAGGACAATAGTGAAGTGAAGATAATAAGGAAAGAAAAAGTTTATTTACAATACAGAACACGACAAACAACAAGCATACAATTACTATAAACGAATAGACAAATAAAAAGAGAACATTGGCAGAGCTTCTCTAAACAGTTGCAGCACACAACTTCCACGGAATACAAAAAGAAATATAGACAATGATCAGAAGGCAAATAAAAGAGGTGAACGAACTAATAAAAACGAAACACATTCAGACGATATGGGCAGACTTCTGTCGATCCCTATTTGCTTAGGGTGAACACCAGAAGTGAAGACAAACGAAGAAATAAACATTAAAAAGGTAGAGGTAGAGGATCTGGAGAACTCTTGAGGAATTAAACACAACACTAAAATTAACAACCAAAGTAGTAACAGATACATTGTATACAATTATATCACTAACAGAAGAACAAGGTTTTAGGTCGGGAAGATCATGCACTGAAGCTATATTTATAATAGTGTAAAGAGTACAACACACCGGCATATATATGTCTTGTTCGCAAGAGAGGTACCTTTAGGAATAAAAACGATCGAAAATATCTACCAGAATAACACAATAGAAGGGTAGATTGGAACGATCATATAAGCCGAATGACAACAAATAGAGTAGTAAAGGCGACAAGAGACGCTTCCCCAATAGGAAGACGATCAGTAGGAAGACCTCGAAAACGATGTAACGACAACTTACTGGAGACACATTGAAAAACACGCTGTAATGTCTGCACAAAAAGAAAAAGAAGAAGTGTTTACAAGTCTCAGATTTTGTTCTTTCCTTTTCTTGTTCTTTCTTTTTCACTGTTGGATGTAGTTTTTGATCAAATAGATCTTAATATTCGCAAAGAAAATACAGCATGCTTCTTCTACTTCATTCTTCTTACTGAACACAGTGCCAGTTAAATCTTCGGTATCTTCCAAACACGCACACGAACGTTTTTACGTTGCCCAATTAGTGATGTGTATCCACTTCTCATTTACAAAAAGAAAATATAGTATTCAACGATTTTTTTTAATCTAGTAAAAATGTTCTATCAAGTTTTACTTCTTATTTATATATGAAAACACTGTTTTTCATAGGCACGTTTCATAGGCACTTGATGGACATTTAGCAGACCAAATGACATTTATTTACAATTAATATGGATATTAAAGTGCCTTAACTGAATAATCTATAACAAAAAACCAACATTGTTATTTCTTCTAAAAATTTAGGTATGAGGTGCAATTATTTGCTTGCAATTTGTAGTTACTTAACCTTTGTATATAGATTTACTAACCCTTGGACTAACGCTATTTCAGGGACGGTTATTCAGAGTGGAAGGAAGAAGGTATCATCATTAACTCACTAGCCATGGCTCTAGTAGCTTTAGCCATTCTCGTATCGTTCGCCGTACGAAGCCCCACACTTAAGGGAGACACCAGAATGACAGTCACTGAAAGATTGTAGGAAAAGGCGCTATCTAGCGCCAAAGTCTCGGATATAAACGCAACAACAGAACCGGAGAGGTTCTGAATTCAACGATAATTTCTAGGTTAATTTATAGTGCATGTTTAGGTAAATAGGTTCTTTGATTGCCAATATTTTCTGACTAACCCTGTATGCTTACAAATTTTCGAATAACACTCGTATATGGGGATCTGTCGGAAAAGCTAACGCCGGTGAGGGTGTGACTGCTCAAACTCTTCGCTGGTGTTTTCAAAATTTGGATGTTGCAGTGTGAATGCTCCATTTGACTGCTAATATTATGCCAAAATATTAAATGTATTATTAGTAAATGTAATCGATGGTATGTAAAAAGTAGTTGGTGTATTAAGTTAGAATTAAAAATTTGTAGCAAAATTCACCTCAACCTCGACATCATTTGCAACTTCGCCAGTAAAACCACAATGGTATTATACATTATTTTTTAATAAATTTAATTATGTTAAAAGACATTCACATGAGAGTTGGTAAATAGAAGAGTTAAGCTTGATTAGAAACCAAAATATTCGTGATGCATCCATTGGCCGTCATTTCAGAGCAATCAAAGTTGTTACAAAGACACTAACCTCCGATAGTTCACAGCAATGGTTTTAGTTATTCCATCCACAATATTCTATATACACCAAATTAGATTCTTTTACCACGCGGAATCATTGAACAATGCTAACTGAGTTACAACTTCTTGCAGAAGCTCTCTTTTAATTACAGTTTGCTGATATTTGGTCAGTTTTTAAGTCATAGATTCTTTCACTATTTTTGGGTATGTATCTAGTTGTTCTTAGACACCCAGTATGCACTAGTCTTTATGGCCATTGAATCTTTTCACTGCAGGTATCCAGTCTTCTTTAACATTTTTTTTTGTTGACCCCAACTGTATTTTCTGGTTTATTGGTTGTTCATACCAAGTGATGCTCCTACTTCTATAAATATTATTTAAAGTAATAGACGAGGTATTTACTTACTCGCTTGATCTCTTTTCTGTATATTAAACTAGCTGCTATATGCTTTATATTTATGCTAGTCTTATACTAATTTTAACAGCTTTTCTATGAATGTTATCTGGACCGTTGCCTTAACAAATTCGACTAAGATCGAATAAGATAATAATTTATCGAATACACCATCTTTACCAATATCTCTGACTATTTTTCATCATAAGTGTTTCATCGTAAAGGCTTTATCAATTTAGCTATTATTGGAAAAATAATTAGCTCATAAGGCAAAATGCTTCGCAAATGTCTTCAAATAAGTTAATATCATGCATCCTAAAGACCAATGATCAGGGTTAATGAATAATATATAAGATAGTTCTATAATATAAAAAAAACTTACTGCCAACTAAAAATGATAAAGAGGTAATATTTTGTTTACAAGTTTATAATTTTAAAGAATTTTCGCCTAATCAGGCCTAGAAACATTCCTTGTAGTAGTAATATCGATTCTGAACCATCGGAAAGGTCGATTTTTTACCGTTTGGATCAACTTTTCAGATTCCTTTCAGGGTCTTTGTGAAATAATTTAATATTTATATTAGTAGGATGTTTACACCCTTTGCTTTGATTTCGTTCGGTTCGAGGTGATTTTTTTCAATACATTTTTTAGTCATTTCGAAAACCCATAGACTAATCAAAGCATTGTGTGGTACCAGAACAGACTTACATACTTAATTTTTTCCTACGAAAAATCATAAGTGTACACAACAAAATTTTAAGTATATAACTTTGTTCGAGCCTAGGGCCTCATGTAATCTTTACAATTTTATACTGTAGTAGATAAAAATGAGATAATTGACGTACTAATCAAAATAAGCTCAAAATTTAATCAAATAATACTCTGTGTGTTAGCATCTAAGTAGAAAGTATAGAGCAAAAGAAGTGCAAAGGGATGTCATCACTTTGCCACTTCTTTTGGTAAATAAATATTTAAGAAAATATGTCGTAAAGTGTTATATCTATGGTATGTTGTCAAGGGATTCCTTATAGAAGAAAACTGAAAACTGTTAAGGTATTTTTGTGGTAATTTGAGGTAAAAAACCTTGTTCAAAAGATAAAAGGGAGGTATATGTCAATATAACTTCGGTTTAATCTAAAAATATCCAAAACATTTACATTTCTTTACATTTATTCACCAGTATGTTATTTTGGTGAATAAATTCATAAAAGGTATTAGAAGAGAAAATTTAAAAACTCAGAAAATTAGGAGGATATAAAGAAAAAATGTCAACAGAAAGTCAAGGAACTAGGACGACAGAGAAGAATATTTAAAGCAGTATAAGAACCTTTTAAACATAAAAAACAATTTAAAAAAATATGTATAACAAATTTTAACATTAAAGAAATTATCATCTCGTATATAAAGCTGCTAGGATTGTGCCTATGGCTTATAATAGTGGATAGGATAATTTGCAAAAAGATAAAGATAATATTTTAGTAAGAGTTTTACTAATCATAAAACGAGTTTTGGATATGATAAAGGGACGAATCAGCAAATGTAGCCTATAAAGTTTTCAGTTTTCTTTTACGGGGAGAATATGTGGATCCCCTGTTTATTTAAGTTTATGAATGAGTTGAAGTTTAGGAATAATATAGTTTTACAAGGACACTACGAAACTATGGGACCTACGAAAACAGACTTTATGTTCAGTGCCACATCGTCCTATGCCTAATACAGTGTCGCGAATCTCAACCGGATATATACAAACGAGGACTTTATTTTGTTCTATCCCGTAATTTGCGTACACCCTTTAAAATTTTTTGAATAATACCAACCCTAAGAACTATATCTTCAGACATTGTACGATATGTTAAAAACCGATATTTATTTATTTTAAACTGTTTTTTGTTCACCTAAGGCAAGCAAGGTTGATCGAGGCCGAGAGTGTATTACATTTAGTTAGTTCCCGCCTCGTCTCGGTATGGCTGGTCTTGTTTCGACGATGCTCTATTCATTGTTAAGTCAAACATCACAATACACAAGGTATTGTTTTATTATTAAAGTGTTAATGCAACTTATGAAAGAATTCTTTATTTATTTATATTTAGTACTTTAGTAGAAAATATATGTCAATTGTTTGGGAAAACCAAAAACAGTTTATAATCAAGTCGAGTATATGCTTTTAGCATTTCTACATCTTCTCCATATATAGTGATTGGGGCTGGTGCATTTAGAGATTATTTTTATCGAATATATTGAAGTACAATTTATTTAATGGACCAATTTTAGAATTATCTATATTGTTCGTTGCATTATATTTGTTATATGATATACTCTACATTACTTTTTATGTTATTTAATATATTCCAGATTTTTAGACGTTAACATATACATGTAAGTTATTGATATGTATAAGTATTGTAAGTTTTAATAAATGTATTCTCCAGTTGTAATCTCGTTTTTTATTCAAATTGTCACCGAAAGCAGATTCCAACACAGAAATTAAGGTAGGTACAAAAGGATTTCTTAGAAACAAAATTCTAATCTGATAACAATAATATAATATTTATGGACCTTTTGAACCATACAAGTGTGAAGGTAAGACACACACAGGTATATAGAATATACACAAGTACGAAAATAGAGGCAACCATAGGTATTATACGTCCTCACGTCCGTATTAGTCGTCAAAACTAGGAATGTCTTTCGAAATTTTTATCCGTCGTTTTTGACTCAAAGAAAGTATTCGGGGAGAAAAAAATGGATGAATCGGGTGATGGGGAGACGAAGTTTATATATCGAAATTTACTTCTCCTACTAATATAACTTCAGGCAATTTTGCTGCGCATCAAATGGGCATACCGATAGTAGGGTTTGCAAAGTCATTACTAGTTTTAACTCACTGTAACTACTCATTTGCCTTCTGCAAAAATTCCTCTACGCAGTAGAAGGTTTTATCCAATAAATATTCTTTGAGTAGTTTTTGAAATTGTTTTGATAATTGAATTGTTTTAATGACGACGGTCAACTATTGTAAAGAGAGGATTAAATTTCTCTAAAAGTATTTGGTCTGATATTCTCTTGCAATATAAGTGGAGATCGCAGACGAGATAATTTCATGACAATCGAAAGCTCGTTCCTTGGTAACAGCACGAAGCCGAAGGCTGAGCCTTCGGCTTCGTGCTGTTACCAAGGAACGAGCTTGAGAAATTTGTCATGAAATTATGAGGCATTCATCAATGTCCGAGGGATATTCGGCGGATAATTTTTCGACTATTCTAACAACCATTCAAATTTCGTCATTTTGTGTCATGTGGAACAATTTCACCCAATCATATCAACATTAGACTGATAATTGCATTCAGTGCAATTTTCAATCCCTATGACAACACGATCGAGTTTCACAACTTCATCCAAATAAATTTCAAAATGTCACGTTTCGGCAATCAGAATTCTATAAAACCATACTTGAATCTCGATCAAGAACACCACAACAAGATTATAAATATTATGCGTGGTAATAGATCTTCTATAGTAGAGAACAGCAACGAATCTAATGTTAACTTAAATTTTAATAATTGTACTTTCACTAACTGTACTTTTAATAAATAAATGTTTCGTTATGATTTTTTTTTTTTTTTCGAAAAATTATCCGCCGAATATCCCTCGAACATTGATGAATGCCTCATAATTTCATGATAAATTTCTCAAGCTCGTTGCTTGGTAACAGCACTCAGCCTTCGGCTTCGTGCTGTTACCAAGGAACGAGCTTTCGATTGTCATGAAATTATCTCGTCTGTTATCAATGTCCTAGGGATATTACTACTGATAATTTTTCGAAAAAAAAATCATAACTCAACATAACGAAACATTTATTTATTAAAAGTACAGTTAGTGAAAGTACAATTATTAAAATTTAAGTTAACATTAGATTCGTTGCTGTTCTCTACTATAGAAGATCTATTATAGACGTTTTCATCTTTCTTGGCGTGTGCATGTAAAAACACTTGCAATAAGTTGTTTTATCTGTCTTTCCTTGTCTAAGCTCGATTCGTTTACCTCCTCCAGTGGCAGCTATCTGTATTCGTAAAGAGGCCGAACTTATCACCGACACTGTATCGGCAAAACGCATCAGTGTTATTGCTACAATACTGAGAGACGTAAGTGGTCTCTTCATTCCCTTCTCATCGCACTTTACCATGACGAACGTTGCTCGCATAATTGAATTACGCATCTGTGTATCAGAGAGAGACGAATATTAAAAATTCCGTAGTGGCTTATTTCAGGCACACGCCAAGAACGATGAAACCGAGTTTACCACGCATAATATTTATACTTTGAACATTCTCATTGCCGAAACGTGACATTTTGAAATTTATTTGGATGAAGTCAAACTCGATCGTGTTGTCATAGGGATTGAAAATTGCACTGAATGCAATTATCAGTCTAATGTTGACATGATTGGGTGAAATTGTTCCACATGACACAAAATGACGAAATTTGAATGGTTGTTAGAACAGTCGAAAAATTATCCGATTTAAGTGATTTTTTTAATATGTTATAGTCTTATTCCTTGACAATATCTTTATAATAATATTGTTGCTAAACAGGTAAATTTTCATTGTATACCGGGTGTATGAATCAAACTGGGTTTTTTACCCTGTGGAATATTCTAGCATCTGCAGAATACTGAAATTAAATCGTAACTATAGCCTCATGCTTTCTCAACATTTTGTTTTTTGATTGATTCTCTTATGTAGGATAACACAAAAGTAAGGTGCTTTAACAACTAGACATATTTTTTATCAATTTTTATCTCCGCGGAAGAGAAAAAATATTCGTTTTGAAAAAAAAGTCATTTGTTACAGTAAAAATCCAATTAATAAAATCTTCGAAGAAAATTCAAATTAACAATATTTTGGAAATCAAAGTCTAATTGAAAAAAAAATTAGGTATCAATAATGGGTGCTGCCGCCTTAGGACTTCTTGGAGCCGGTTTTGCAATATATTCATGATATCCTGGATATCAGATTATGGGATATTGTGCCACTCCTCTACCGCAGCTGTCTTCAGCTCTTCAAAGGATGCAGGGACGGTACTCTTGCTCTTACTCGTCTTTTCAGGTTGTCCCAGATATGCTCAATTGGGTTAAGATCGGGACTGTGTGCTGGCCATGGTAGAACTTGAATGTCGACCTGATTAAGGTACTCACGGGTTTGCTGGATGGCAACGTGCATTGTCATGCATTAGTCTGAAGTTATCACCATCGAATGGTGCAAAAGGCATGACATGGTCTTGGAGAAATTCTTGAACGTATACTTGGGCATGCACACTGCCTCTATCGAACACAACAAGATCAGTAAGCGCTTCGTAAGAAATACCTCCCCAAATAAATCATTATTGACCCTCCTCGATAAGCCACTGTTTCGGTTATAGCGCATGCAGCAAACCTTTTATTTTGACGCCTATAGACACGTTGGCGTCTATCTGGACCTTTTAGGGCTATTCAGCTCTCATCTAGTCTAACTCTCATCGTCTAATACAATTCTGCCAAGAACAAAGTCTAATAATCACAAACACGTTCTTTAAATTACCAATGAGACGGTTATATACATGGCGCTCACCAGCAGATAAACCGGAAAAAGTTGAAAGAAACCAAATCGACTATATAATGATTAAAGAGAGATATCGTAACACCATCTAATCAGTTAAAACATATCCAGGAGCAGATGTCGCATTAGACCATAACCCACTAATCGCTAATGTCACGCTTAAGCTTAAACGTATTAGAAAACCACAAAGAACTCCAAAATTAGATGTTAGATAACTAAAAGAAGATGATATAAAAATCAAACTTCAACAGAAGATATACGAAAACTTTGATAAATTAGATACTAACACTTACGCGATAAACGAACAATGGGAAACACTAAAAAACTGCCTCCTCGCTCCATGCAAAGAGATATTAAAAGAATCGACACGAAAGAAAGACAATTGGATGACCGACGAGATACTCGGCATGATGGAACAACGAAGACAAGCCAAGAACAAAGACAGTCATAATTACAAAATCATTAACAATGAAATCAGAAAAAAGATAAGAGAGACAAAACATACTACGAGAAAAAATGTAAAGAGATAGAGGATCTTCAGAACAAATACGATCTATTCAACATACATAAAAAGGTTAAAGAAATGGCAGGGCTTCAAAAAAGAGAACTCAACACAACTCCTTTAGATAAAAATGGAAATACTATGATAACGACTGACGAAAAACTAAAACGATGGGAAGAGTATATGGAAGAGCTCTTCGACGACGAAAGAGGAAACCTACAAGACTTGTCTTTTGAGGACATAAAAACAAGTGTAGAAATTACAAAGGAAGAAATACTATATGCACTAAAGAACACCAGAAACGGAAAAAGCCCGGGGCAGATCAACTGCCTATTGATATCCTTAAAATAATAGAAAATGAGTACATTGATGTCCTCTTAAAGCTTTTTAATAAAATTTATCAATCGGGTGACATACCCAACGAATGGTTGACCTCAACATTCATTTCTCTTCCAAAAAAGAAAAATGCTAGAGAATGCACCGACCACCGTACCATAAGCCTGATGTCTTAAACACTTAAATTGTTTTTAAAGATCATTCATAAACGCATTTACAAAACACTTGATATGGATATTGAAGAAACTCAATTTGGATTCCGTAATGGCGTAGGTACCCGTGAAGCTCTCTTTGCGTTCAACGTACTAGTCCAGAGATGCTTGGATGTGAACTAAGATATGTACGTCTGTTTCATAGACTACAACAAAGCTTTCGACAAAGTCCGCCACAAAGAGCTAATGGACATCCTCAAAGCAAAACAACTACAACACAATGACCTTCGAATTATAACAAATCTATATTATAAACAACAGGCACACGTACGCATTAATGAACACATATCAGAAGAGTTCGAAGTTAAAAGAGGAGTGCGACAGGGTGTGTACTGTCACCACTACTATTCAATGCATACTCTGAAGAAATTATGAAGAGCTCTTGAGAGAGAAACAGTAGGAATCAAGGTCAATGGAACACCAATTAACAACATTAGATATGCGGACGATACTATCATAATAGCAGACAACCTCCAAGACCTCCAAACGCTAATGAACAAGATAGTTGAGTATGCAGAAAAATATGGATTATCAATAAACACCAACAAAACCAAATTTATGAGGATATCAAAAACCCAAAATAATGGTGAAAGCCTGACAATTAACAGTAGTGCTTTAGAACAAGTTGAAAACCATCACTATCTTGGCTCAATAATTAATCACAACGATTACTCAAGTAAATTCAATTGATAGAGTAAACTTCAATACAATACAAAGGTACTTTGTGCAAGAGAACTAAAATTGGACTTGAGAGTTAGGCTGGCAAGGTGTTATATTTTCTCGACTCTA